AATCCGACCGATACAGCGTCCCTTCCGCGGACTCGTTCTTGAAAGGCATTATGGATGATGAAATGGACATCGATATGGCGATGACCGACGAGGACAAGGCGGTTGCCGAGGGCGCTAAAGCCAGCAAGTCCTGGCGAATCTTGCGTCTTGCTGCGAAAGGAAAGCTCGCTGCATTCGACAAAATCGGAGAGGGTAACAACCTACAGGTCTTGTTCCAGAGTGCTACAGCGACTGAGGATAATAATGAGCTCAGTTCCTCTGGCGATACCAAGGATATCTCCCAGTCCCTCGATGGAGCTCAGGACCCGCCTGTTAAAACCAAAGAGCCCGCTGAGGACAAAGAGCCCGCTGAAGTGAGTGAGGCTGCTGAATCCGAAGAGCCTGTTGAGGGGAAAGTCGAGACGGCTCCTGGCCGATCTGAGAGTGCTCGGGGCCTCCAGGATCTGCCCCGGGGCACAGATCATAAGGAAATGCAAGTGGAAAACAAAGACGTCATCAGCGAAAAACAAGACCCAAGCACCGATGAAGAGGCCCTTGCCGCCACTAGCGCCTCGAAAGAGGACTCTGCCACGTAAAGCCAGATTGTGGCTTGAAGATATCATGTTGGATATTCAATGGGCTTTGACCCCTTTTTGTCCGGAGAAAATCCCCCAATGAGCAATGAGCACCGTCTGGCGCAGTCACCCTGCGACCAACCACATCCAGATTATCCAGGCAACTTGCAGGATTTCCTGCATCAATATCACGGCGCCGACGGCGCCGTTAGTGCCGTGATCTGGTAGCGAGATTACTACATCCGTGCACCTGCATTATCTGCGACACATCTACTGGAATGGTTCAGCACTTTGTCTTTTTTCGAATACGAATACCAGAGTGCGTCCTGGGTTGCAGACAGAGTTAAACCTTCATCTGCCCTAATTTGGGAGTCATTTCACGAGCCTTTGTTTCCCCCTTCTTTTCCCCTTCTTTTTCAAGAACCCGCCCCTCTTCAGGGTCGCCATCAGTCCAGCTTCACGGAGCAGAATCGGAACAAGATGTCGCTTAAACCGAAACAAGAACACGAATCAATTGGGCCCATTGGCCGATTGCGGCCCTAAACCAAATCCGGCATTCTACGGGAAGCGGGCCACTAGTAAAGGCGATGAGACTTCATACCCGTGGCCATGGAGACTAAGGACAAGGACCTCAATGAATTAGCTAACGTGGAGACCAAGATTCTTTAGCTGATCGGCAACTCTAATACAAATGACTTGAAAGGGTTCCTGCATGAAGCACTCAGTAGCTAAAGTAGAAAAAAAGGAATCACGTTCTGTCCATGTTCTCCAGAACTAATTTCTCACAAGTGGCGGGGTTGGCGTCGCAGCCATGTTTCACTTTTTCAATTTTCCAATTTTTTTGGTATCAGTGAGAAACCAGCGGGTAAAATTAAGTAGTTTTTGATTAAGCAATACGGAGTACTCCGTAATATTAACCGACTTCATCAGAAACGACGAAATCAATCAAAAAAAGGAGAGAATATGGAGTAAGTCTCCTGAAGTACGGAGTACGTTCATTGTACACGAGATCAAAAAAATCCCCATTGAACCGTTAGTTGCAGAAGTGGGCACCTTTTTCCCCCTGTCCACTGGGCTCCCCCTTTTTTCTTGTGAGCTCAGAGAAGAAACTTTTCGAGTAGTTCGTGATATACGATATACTAACAGAATAGGGTTCGAGAAGAGCAAGCGAAGCCAACAGGAAAATCGCGCACTGATCGTCTGGGGTTCGATGCACCCAGAGGACTATGCGTCCACTCCACTCACGTAAACAAATCCAATAAAAACCACATGGGAAGTTCAACAGTCCGAACCACTATCGACACAAGCGTCGAGTTTAGTCTCCATTAGTGGACACCCGCTATACAAGAGACGGAAGGAGGTATAACGGTAGGCCATGTGGCCCGATCTAAATGCACTGGCCATGTCTATCTTCTACGGAGGACGGAGTATGGATTGGACCGATGTGCTTGGAGATGTCAGATAAAATCCGTGTCTTTTCTTTTTCTTTCTACTCTTGCTGTGACTCTAATCCTTTTTAGGCAAAACCGGAATATATATTCAACTTTCCAGATCGGGAACTGTACATGTAAACATCTACATACGTCTACAAGTATCTACAAATGAAACACCTATTATGCTCTTCTCTATTCTCTAGTCCGTACTTTGTGGTACGGCATGTACCAGCGATTGGTTATATACAACATAGATTAATTCTAGTACTCATCAAGGGGGAAGCCTCCATTTCGCCAAGAGATCGGCTTGCGTCACCCACTTAATATTCTAAAGTCCGATGGATAAATGGGAATAAAGATTACTAGGGTATTGTATGAAGTACAGCTTGTAAGCATACTACAATATACGTGGCTTGATACTCCAATATGCTGGTGTAATAGGTGTATAGGTGTGGGAGATGATGTTCTTTCCCCGCACAGCACGTTCCAGGATGTAGGGAGATTAAGGACAACGTACATCATACGATGCAACGGTATGGTCCTGATCTCTGGGTTTTAATTTTATTTCATCTTCAGGGTCCAACCCGAAACACCGAAAAAAAAAAATTGTCGGCCTAGTTAGCGATCGTCGAAATCCAACGGCTCCGAGTTTTCTCCTCCGAGATCCACCATAGCCTTGGAGAAGCGGTTTTGTATACTTCTGTATACTTTTGTATACCTTTGCATGTATGTGATTCGGTCTTTGGAAAAGGAAGACACACTTCTTCCTGTTAATCCTATCCGATATCCGATATCCGACCCGATGCTCTTTGCTAGAGTCCTTTCTGACCCACAACCTCGAATGAAAATATCATTTCTATTTCGTACTCATACGGTTAACGCCTCATTTCACCTGTGACTCGAATTGTTTCACGTCGATTGTGGAGATTTCCAGGGGAGCTGTCTCTCCTCTTACAACTACCGAGCCATGGTATATTGCTCTCTGGACAACTTCTTCACTAGGTATCTAATTCCGAACTCCCGATTCACACGCAAGGCCCGCATGGTGGTCTTTCCTGAAGAAGGAATTATCGAAATTTCCTTCGGACGAGGCTCTACAAAGGTTATATCGCTCCGGTAAAACGGGGCCCTTTCTGCAGTTCTAAACATTGCTAATATAATTCTCTATATTGGTTCGTTTGATTCGGCATTCTCTGGGGTTTCCAATCGATTATATATATTGTTTTAATATATATCAACCCCTCTCATTTCTTTATTTTTTCAATTTTATTTGTTTACTTACTTCCCTTGTTCTCCCAAGTCATCTCAGTGGGTAATTCAGTCTCACCTTCGCTTCTTTCCGAGTCAATATGGAGTTTGTGGCGGGCAGCCCGCTGAGTGGCTCTCCTTCGATAGCCCTGCCCAGGTGAGGGTCCGGCTCAGCTTGCCTATGGATCCTCAGCACGCCACTAGCACAGCCGACTAGGCCTTCCCACATGGCCTGGTATGCGCGTTCCGGTCTTACATCTAGACGGAGCAACGGGATTCAGGATTTTTTTTTCTTTTTCCTTTCTCATCTGTCTACTCCGTACTCCGTATACCGATCCGAGCTATGATCCTCGGTCAATTCCACATTTTGCCTAGAGAACATAAGTCATACAAGTAGGGCTTTGTCTCTCTCCCCTTTATCTTCCTTTATTTTCCACTTCCGGGTCTCAGGTCCCGCAGGACCCATTTGTCCCCTTTACCGTGCAAGCTTGAGCTGAGTTGACGTGGTGGTTCCCAGCTTTTCAGCTTAGACAGACCGTATGATTCACACAAATCCATATGCCCTCCATGAGCATTCGGCATTATATAGAGTCTGTTCTGCATATATCTATTATTTTACCCGTATTCTGTTGGAACCTTCTGTATCACTTCGTATCCAGGGACGCCTTACGGGTAAAATGGCTTTAGGCCGGTTATGGGCATTGGATCGGAGGCTACCATTTTATTCTCCGAGACGATCCTTTTAGTTTCTGATACTAATACTAGTCCGTATTGTCCATACCATCTATACCATCTGTAACTTGATGTTTTACCAACGAGGTCAACGGCTGCCGCTATGGACCGTTTTGTATAGGATCTTCATCCAGGTAAAAAGATCGAGTGTTGATCTGTGGACTCGCTGGATCTATGTCTTGTTGGACTTCTACACTGTCCTCCGTACATGTACAGCATTAGTCTCACACTCAGGCCCACCTGAGAACTGATTCACTTGAACCGTATTGTACCTTGTATCTTGAGTTTTTCCTTTTTCTTTTGTACTTGAACATTCTGATCTGTGTAGACTAATAACTAAGATGATAGCTATACTATCATGTTCCAAGTTGTATAGATGAGATTTATTCAAAGAGGTGGACCCTGATTCCGTTTAATGGCCCTGTATTCCCACTGTTACCTCGCTTGGCTATTAACACCTATATGCCTCACAGGATATCTCCGGTCGATCCTGGCCTAGCGGCGTGTGTCCCAGGTACCACATTTTCACTTTGGTGGATGCTTCTCTCTCAACATCTTCTAGTTACTGCCCAGCTGCGTAACGATCATCCAAATCAATCGGGATCTCAGATCCAGAGAAAAGAAAGGGTAAAAAAAAAAGAATAATAAAGGCTGGAGACAGTTGTCCCGCTTGACGTCTTATCCTCGTTTGGGCCTTGTTTTTTCCTTCTCCTCTTCTGGAACACCGATTCCTCTTCTGCCACGCATGCTTTTTACCTTTAATCCTCTTTCTTATTTTCTTCAAAGTCTGGAGAGCTTCACCCTTTTTACTTTAATTGCAGAACCCTGATCCTTTTTTTTTAACGGCACTTCGATCAGACCCACCAACGTCTCATATCGGGGGAGCCTACCGTTTCCTTTTTGGGCTAGAATTTCTCCTATTGTTTCTGTCGAAAGTCTTCTACTTCTTCTCCCTTTTCAAAGGACTTGTCGATTTTGAACTATCGTGAGTAAGGGCAACACACATACACACACCCGAAACTAGACCCTTACCATGTCAGTCGGCGGCCCTTGCCTTTGGTTGCCTTCATTATCTTCGCCAGTTCCTTCTCCCCTATCTGCAGTATCATCTCACCTGTCAGTCCGAAACAGTGAGAGACTCTCTTTAGGGCCCAGGACTATCTCACCACGGCTATCTGTGCAGAAGAAAGAGGAACCTGGCGTTCCTGTTCCTGTGCACGCCCCCGCTCTTCCTGTGGAGATGCAGCCGACTGGTTATAAGGCTGAGAACGCCTTGAATAACCCGGTGGCACAGCCCGTCAGCATGGGTTCAGCGCCGTACTTGGAGAGAGATGTTTCACGAGATACGGTCAACCACCGGCTGGAGGCGGCGAAACAGGATATGCTTCCACGTGTTAAGTTGGAAATCCCGAGTCTGAATCAGCGGAGCTTTTCAACCGTCCAGCCCCTGGTCGGACATGGTGGTCATCCTGGGGAGACGGGTGTTTCATCGTTTTCTGGCCATGACCCGGGAGACGACCACGAGAGAGAATCGACGATCAGTCCTGATGATGATAAGGATATGATGGGTAGTGATGACAATAGATCGCCTTCGATGGAGAAAAAGAAGATGAAGCGTTTTCGGTACGGAATTTTGTCTCCGAAGTACAACGCATTCTTGCTGACACAAGTATAGTTTAACACATAACCAAACCCGCTTTCTGATGAGCGAGTTCACTCGCCAGGCACATCCCGATGCGGCTCATCGAGAACGTCTGTCAAGGGAAATCCCTGGGTTGACCCCGCGTCAAGTGCAAGTCTGGTTCCAAAATAGGTACGGTGTTCAACTAGTTTGAATCGTGTATCCTTGGCTAACATAGATGTACTGTCAGACGAGCAAAGCTCAAGCGTCTCACTACGAATGATCGGGAGAGAATGCTCAAATCTCGGGCACTTCCTGACGATTTCGATACTACGAAAGTTCTCCGCACGCCCTTTGAGGGCAAACAATCAGGTGTCACTCCAGTGGCCTCTCCACAAGGCTATGGGGTCCCAAATCCAGATTTCGGGGCTTTGAGAACACTGCGTACCGATTGCTACGCCCGACCAAATGAAGACGAGTACCTCGTCTCGCCTCTCAGCTCTGCATCGACAGCAGGAACCTACATGTCCTCGACTGGACGAAATGACAGCCTGTCTCAGTCAAACATGATGTTCCGTCCTGCTGCGTCTGCCTCCATGTCCGATTTACATAGAACCATCCGCAACGATTACCCAGTCACTAGATCAAGCAGCTTGTCCGATGCATCGGCCCATCCGTCGCCATATGCGGGGTATCCTATGCAAAATCGCTTCGCGGGGCCCCAGCCAAGTCAGCCAGGTCTACCATATATGAGACGACCCATGGAATACGCTATGCCTCGTCATCCAGGTGTGGGACCCTATGACCAACATCAATCGTTCGAGGGCTCGGTGTCGCCGACAGACACTCAAGGTTCACATATTACCTACGATATGAACACCCTAGGTTGGTTTTTTTCCCGTTCTCTCGACATTTCCCAGATGATTTTCTAACATGCTCTTGTATAGGCGCCCAACAACAAAGCTACAATCTTGGAATGGGCTCTCAATTACCAACTCAAGGCCGACCCATGGCCACCATGCAGAACCTGCCAGTTTCAGCAGCCCAAGATTATCGGCCCTATTCCTACGACGCCACCGCAGGCCCAATGGGCACACCCATTCCCTACACACAAGCAAACACCTCGACTCTGAGTCTCCCAACTTCGGAGCCATCTTACAACTACCCCAACTATATTCAGCAGTGAGGGGAGCAAGACAGTGGGCTTTGAAAACGATCGGCTTCCACTCATCTTGTATACGACATCCTTGTTTTGCTTTGCACATCTTCTCTTCGTCTCCATCTCAACCTTCCTGGTTAACTGGTTAGCTGGGTTAACCAAGGATCCGCGATCTATATCAGCGAGTATTAATCATTAATCATTGTCATAGCGTTCATCATTCCTGGTTTCTGGTTTTTGGGTTCTCTTTTTGGGATTTTTTTCTTTCTGTGTCCTGTGTTATCAATTATCTTTTTAAAAGCTTTTTCTTGCCTGCATCTATATACTTCGTTTGTTTTCACACCATGTTGTTCCTATTCGTGTTGCGTTTCTTTTGGTCTGGTCTAGTCTGGTCTGGGATCTAGCGACCATTGTCTGGGAGACAGTTTGTCTAATATTAATTGTTTCTGATCTGCATAGCCGCGGGATGAAAGGTCGAAATGGTATAGAGATAGATGCTACTGTTTAGAAGCAGACAGACCATCGAGTCTACAATTCACTTGAACCAAATAAACCAAGTTGTCCTTTCTCTACTTTCATCGCGTAAACACCGAATATCTGATTATTTGGTACTACTCCGTACTGGCATCGGAATTTGACTTATCAAGGTCATAGCTCCCGATGCAACTAACCCTGGCTTGCATACCATAAAAGCCTTGCAAGCACAACCCATCAACTCAGCCCCGGAGGTCATACAAATTCTATCCATCGAATCAGCATCAAGACAAAAGTAATCAAATTCTTCTTTTCTCAACACATCCACTGTCAGGCCACATCGTCAACCACTCAAGCGACCTGTATTTGCGAGTCTCCGCGATGGGCCAATCAGCGTCCACCGAAACAGAACACTGCACCACGTGACACCACCTCTCTTGGCCAATCAAAGCCCAGCAATTGGTAATCACCACCAATAGACTCAACCTCTGACGCATGCAGAACAGTATAAAGGAACTCGTAGAAGCAGAATGTTATTTTCTTTTTCTCGGACACTCTCATCTTGATACAAAAATAATCTCATTTCTTACTCTTTCATCCTTCAATTTTGTAAACTCACAAACTCCTACTTCATCAACATCACCTCTCAATCTTCAAAATCCAACGTCATATCAAATCAAACCACCAAAATGGTCCACCCCACTACCACCTGCTGCAAGACCAGCCAAGATGGCTCCTGCGTCTGTGCGGCCCAGGCCAAGTGCTCCTGCGGCCAACAGTCCGCCCTCCACTGCAGCTGCAACAAGGCTTCTTCCGAGAATACCGTGTCGGGTCCCCGCTGCTCATGCCGTATGTGGTTCCACTACTCTGATAATCTTGAAGAAACATACGGAGTATATATTAACATAATCAAAACAGGCTCTCGCCCAGCTGGCCAATGCACCTGTGAGCGCTCCGTCACTGAGAACAAGCCTATCGCTGGTGAGACCTGTGCCTGTGGCAGCCGTCCTCAGGGTGAGTTTTAGCCTCCTTCTAAAAATGTGATTTGAGGTGTTGAATGCCCTGCTAACTTTGACTTTAGCTTCTTGCACTTGTGAGAGGGCTGCTGCTGTTGATTCCGCCCTCGAGGTTGACTTCACTGGCACTGCTTAAGTGACTCGATTCGTTCTTATCTCTGCTTTGATGGGGCTTCTCCGTCATTGGAAACTGCATTTTTCATCCCAGCCTTGATGGGGTGGTGGCGTCTTGGGCTTGGGCGTTTTTACCGGTTGTGGTTGCTTAGGGTTATCGTTACCTACTGAATGAGATATGAAATGAGACTTCAATACCATCCAATCTTTCACTACAATATTTGTAGCAAAGAAATAACCGCAGGTGACGCCTAGGCTAGTCTTGTTTAGTACACTAAAAGCTATCGAAATGGACTTGGTTGGCTTTAAAACGGGAATATACATACTTCTTAAAATAAGCTTGTTTGGAATGGGAAAAATGCAGATCGAGGGCAATATATTCAAACAATAATAAGCCAGTCTCTTTTCCAAGTGCTTTTACTATGTATTTTTCACATAGAACCAGTCTGTTGAGATATAGTTGTGTCCAGGCTAACAAATAAAACTACAACTTATACTTACACCCTCCACCGCCACATCGGACCAGTATTCCTCCGGCGCCACACACCGCCACAGCGGAACCCGAGCTGATCGACAGCGGAAGTGACCCAAATGAAATACGGAGCGGACAAGTCACGGGGATGGACTCATCTCGACTTCGCGTGCTGCTCGGCCTATTTATCCTGGGATCTCTAAACTGGGCGCTATTCTGTAAGTTGCCGTGGTTCGGATACCTCCGGCCCACACCAACCAACCATTGCTGACCAGCTCCCCCAGAATTCAACTCCCTTACACCACAACCCCCTGTTTTCCAAGGTGCTTCCACGAGCCCGGAAATCCATCGCCCGAAACGCTGCATAGCCAATGCCCCAATCGACTCGCCAATATAACCGGGACATGGTTGTGTGACGTTGTGCGTCCGATCGCGAACCCCCTGAGGTGATAATCCCGCGTGGCATGCGAGGACGCACCTCGATCGAAACCCCCGCCATACCATAATCGTCTTTTCATTTTTTATTTTTTCCCGCCCGTGGACTGGTAAACACGCTACGCTATTGCCGTCGCTATGTCGTCGATGCGAGGGCTCGTGCAGTTCATTGCTGATTTGCGGAATGCCCGCGCTAGAGAACTCGAGGAGAAGCGCGTGAATAAGGAGCTGGCCAATATTCGGCAGAAGTTTAAGTCTGGAAATCTCAATGGCTACCAGAAGAAGAAATACGTGTGCAAATTGCTCTATGTCTACATTCAGGGTTATGATGTGGACTTCGGCCATCTTGAGGCTGTCAACTTGATCTCTTCGTCTAAGTATTCTGAGAAGCAGATCGGATACTTGGCTGTCACGTTGTTCTTACATGAAGAGCACGAGCTACTTCATTTGGTTGTCAACAGCATTCGGAAGGATCTGCTTGATCATCATGAATTGAATAACTGCTTAGCCCTGCATGCTGTGGCTAATGTCGGTGGTAAAGAGCTTGGAGAAGCACTCGGCTCGGAGGTTCACAGGCTGCTCATCTCACCGTGAGTTTGGGACGTTGCTTGTTTTTGTTGATGATTATTCTGACATTTTCCAGTACCTCCAAAGCTTTCGTCAAAAAGAAGGCTGCTTTAACCCTGCTTCGGTTGTACCGCAAATACCCCGGCATCGTGCGAAACGAATGGGCCGAAAGGATCATATCAATTATGGATGACCCTGACATGGGAGTAACACTCTCCGTCACCTCTTTGGTCATGGCGCTAGCTCAGGATTTGCCAGAGGAATACAAGGGCTGTTATGTCAAGGCTGCGCAACGATTGAAGCGGATTGTGGTTGACAACGAGATCGCTCCGGACTACCTCTACTATCGCGTACCATGTCCATGGATTCAGGTTAAGTTCTTGCGCCTGTTGCAGTACTATCCTCCATCAGGTACGTTTAGTGCCGTTGCAACTTATAACTCAGTTTCTCACATATAATTACAGAGGACAGCCATGTTCGCGAGATTATTCGAGAATCTCTCTCCCAGATGATGCAAGCTGCAATGGAAACCCCCAAGAATGTCCAGCAGAACAATGCCCAAAACGCCATCCTTTTCGAAGCCATCAACCTCCTTATCCACCTCGACTCTGAGCACAATCTCATGATGCAAATCTCCGCCCGCCTAGGCAAGTATATTCAGTCTCGGGAGACCAACGTTCGATACCTTGGTCTGGATGCGCTGACCCATTTCGCTGCTCGAGCTGAAACACTGGACCCGATTAAAAAGCACCAGAACATCATCCTGGGCTCGCTTCGAGACCGCGACATTAGTGTTCGTCGCAAAGGATTGGACCTGTTGTACAGCATGTGTGATACCAGTAATGCCGGCCCCATTGTGAACGAGCTTCTGCGATACCTGCAGACTGCGGATTATGCCATTCGAGAGGAAATGGTACTCAAGGTCGCCATTCTTACTGAGAAATACGCCGCCGATGCACAGTGGTATATCGATATGACATTGAAACTGCTCTCACTGGCAGGAGAACATGTCAACGACGAAGTATGGCAAAGAGTGATTCAAATTGTGACCAACAACGAAGAACTACAAGCTTATGCAGCACACACCCTGCTGGGCTACTTGAAGTCCGATTGCCACGAAAGCTTGGTGAAAATCGGCTGCTATGTCTTGGGCGAGTACGGCCACCTCATCGCCGAAAACGCAGGCTCAAGTCCTATTGAGCAATTCCTGGCCCTGCAGGCCAAGATGTTCTCCAGTTCCGACAACGCGCGGGCCATGATCCTCTCGTCGTTTGTCAAGTTTGTGAATCTGTTCCCCGAAATCAAACCTCAGCTATTACAAATCTTCCGCCTGTACAGCCATTCTCCCGATTCCGAACTGCAGCAGCGAGCATTTGAGTACCTGTCACTGGCGACCCTCCCGACTGACGATCTGCTGCGAACGGTCTGCGATGAAATGCCGCCATTCTCGGAGCGAACATCCATTCTACTTTCTCGGCTACACCAGAAGACAGCCGGTGCGAGTGAGAAGAAGACCTGGGTTATCGGTGGCAAGGACGCGAATGCGGACAAGCAGGAAATGCTCTTGGCACAGAACACCGGTCTCAAGCGTACCTTCACGACAATTGTTCATGGCACGCGCACTGGGTCCGGCAATACTCCAGCGAGCCCGGCAAGCGCATCCAATGCGGCCAGTGCATCGGGCGACTTGGCAGGCCTTGATCTCAGCGGTCCATCAGCCCCAGCTCCCAACATGGCCAGTGCCGCTCATTTGACCCCAGAATGGGATATCGGCTACAACCGACTGTTCTTCTTGCGCGAGGGTGTGCTTTTCGAAGATGCACAGATCCAGGTCGGACTGCGCTCGGAGTACCGAGGCCCTATGGGTGTCGTGAAGATCTACATTTCCAACAAATCTACGTACCCCATCGGGTCTCTTACCACCACCGTCGACAACCCGGCCTCTCCTCAATTGAAGATCGACACGAAGAACCTGCCCGAACCGACAATTCCGGCTGCCGGGCAGACACAGCAGACTCTATTCTGCACCGCCCATGGTCCCTTCACGGATGCGCCTACCATCCGTATATCATACTTGGCCGGTGCTCTCCAGGCCTATACACTGCAGCTGCCTGTCCTGATGCACCGCTACATGGAATCCTCGTCTCTATCAGCCGAGGAATTCTTCAAGCGATGGCGCCAGATTGGCGGTGGACCACTGGAATCCCAGAAGACCTTTGGCTTGCTGGGTAAGAACAAGACCGTCAACGAGAGATTCACTCGGAGGGTTGTCGAGGGATTCGCATTCAAGATCTTGGATGGTGTCGATCCAAACTCTCAAAACATTGTTGGGTGCGCCGTGTACCAATTCGAGGGAGGTAAGACGGGCTGTCTGCTGCGGCTGGAGCCCAACTACGAGAAGAAGGTATGTATTAGAATTCTTCGAATTATTTTTGTGTCCTCCTAACTCTTCTCAGATGTATCGCGTCACTATTCGTGCCACCCAAGAAGAGGTCCCGCAGGCACTGGCCAGACAGATGGAGCTGAAGCTGGCGCAGGGCATTAAAGCAGATGAAGCCTTCGATTAAGGCGTCTGCAGGTGATATGGAAGCATTCATGTATATCTCTAATTGGATTACCAAGTAAAATATTAGCAAGGGTTCCTGGTGGAACAGCGCATCTCTTTGTGTATAAACCCTTGCCAGTAAAGTAATAAATAGAAGTGCTATACATACGGTACATCTAATGATCAGCGTTCTGAGTGGTGATAACCACCAGAAGCCTAACACTTTTAAGTTTAATCTTCACGAAATCATAACTCATGACCCACCCAACCCTCAAACTTAGACAACACTCGCCTCCGCCTTGGGCGGCCGATCCCCGAAGATCGTAGTCCCAACTCTAACCTGATCACTCCCAAGAGCAATCGCCCCCTCGAAATCCGAGCTCATACCCATACTAAGCTCCAATGCAGCCTCCTCCCCAATCAACCCAAGCTCCCTAACAACCCGATCCCTCGTCTCCCTCAAGCAAACAAAATCCTCATTCTCATTTTCCACCGTCGTCGCTCGCGATCTCGCAATAGCCCCAATAGTCATGAAACCCTGCAGCTTAAGCCGGGGACACTGTTCACGAACATATCGACAAAGCGCCGCCGCGCCGGCAGGCTCAATGCCAGCCTTATTCTCCTCGCCAGATGTATTAACCTGAACATAGATTCGCAGCCTCCCATCCTCGTCGTGGTTCGTAGCAGCCATTTCAGGGCCCCTCTCGCCCCACCCCTTATCCAGCAACTTCGCCTTCTTCTCCGAGTCTACACTCTCGACTGCCCACAGCCCGCGCACGTCCCGCGCAAGCGTTACGCACTTGTTGCTCTGCAGCCCGCCGATGAAGTGCCATTTGATAGTTGCAGGTAGCAGGCGCGATTTCTCGAGTAGTTCTTGAAGGTAGTTCTCGCCGAAGTGGAGTTGTGATCCTGGGGTTTGGTGCAGTGCCAGTGCGTCGGATGCGGGCTTGAGCTTGGAGACAGCGACGAGTCGGATTGGTTTGCTGGGGATTGGGGATTGGAGGGCGGCTGTGCTCATCCGCGCGCGGACGGCTGTTAGATTTGAGAGGAGGGCAGCAGCGCGCGCTGGTGTCGCTGGGGTCATTGTTGGGGCTTGCGGTAATGTGTTGGTTGTCATTGCCGGTTGGGTGGGGTTGTTGTTGGTTTTGATCCGTTGGTTGAGGTGGTGTACTCCTTTTGATGATGTATTATTGAGGTTTTTTTGGGGTCTGGTCCGAATCTAGGTAGGTAGGGAATGCAATGATGTGTCCAATCAACTGAGTCGAGGTAAATCAAACCCGAGCTATGGGCCTCGGGATTAGAAGGCGGACTTTCTATAAGAGCCTCAGGCACTAATTTCCTCGGAGAGTTTCCCGTCACACGTGATTTGTATGCACCGCCACATCCCATCCTGCGCCTCACAGTTTATTTCACTTTTCCGTTTGCATCCTTGAATCGACAATGAGATCATCTATCTCGATCTATCCAATGTCAAGTGACATGCAAACTCTATTTTTTCCCCTTCGGCGCTAGACGATACAGTCACCCGGTAGGTATTCCCGATGCGAGATCCTGGCGGCAAGCCAGACAGACCTCTGCTCCAATCACGGATCTGGACACTCGGAAAAGAGACCCCTGCGGAGCGCCGGGTATGGGCGGATCCCAGTTCGTCTCAAACTGTTAGGGCTGTCTGGCTCTCGGCTGGTCTAGTCCATCAGATTGTCGCTGTTGAGTTTCAAACTAGTCCTCCCTTTGATGCAGGATCTCGATCTTATTTTTAATGTTTCTGCATGACTTTATTTCCTGCCTTTGTTGACCTGTTGAAACAGAACAATAGCCGCCGCCATTTTCTTTTTCTTTTTCTTTTTCTTTTTCTAAAACCAATCTCGTTTTCATTACCTCACCTATAACCACTGTCCCCATCAGAGCGCCAAGTTTGCTGCCTAGATTCTCAATTAAGAGTAGCTAGCTGGTATAAGTCTAGACTACCTGTCCAAGGGCCAAAATAGTGGTACCAAGTCCCATCGCGCCCTCGGCGAGAATACCACCTGTCTGATGTAACCTGCAGCTCTCATCGACGGATGGGTACAGTCTAGGCAAGGTATAAGCCAACTAATGATATATAAGCCTAATAATATAACTTATAATACCCCGTGGTAATCAAAAGAAGGGTTTCTTTGACGTCAGCTCCAATCAATAGCCGTGGGTCTGTTCATAGACACGGTCAATGACCTATCTCATCATTACATTAGGCAGAACTTAAAGAGCTAACTCTCCCATTATATCCGTCCTTTTTTTCCTGATCCCCCAACATCTTCGACTCTCCAACATCATCACGTCTCATTTCAGCTGGTCTGAACAACCCTTTCAAATCTCTGAGCATCTCGACATCACCAGCTACAAAGTATACTTTCCGCGGCTTTCCGACTAGGCTTAGTAGCTATACAGCTCCGACGCTGGAAACCATTTTCACACATTTACACACCATTGGGCATCTGACATCCTCATTTTCTTGCCAATACACCATTATCAATATCCATCTCGCAGTCATTCTGCCCAAGGCATTCTGAAACCATAAAATCCATATCGTTGTCCATCGTCCATCAACAATCAGCTATTAAAAACGCACTGCGGGTACCTGCGGGACACCCTGCAATAGTGAACAGTCAACTACAACTTTGAAGAAAAGCATCCAACAAAAGCAATATGTGTCGCCAATACTTCACACTCTACGAATGGTGCCAATGCGAAGAAGATGCCGGCAACAGCGTCTGCGCCGCCCACCGCCGGAACGGCTGCCCGGGGGTCAGCGTCGAGACCGTGCACATGCACTGCTTCTGCAACTCGCATGCCACGCGTGGCTTCAAGTCCGAGAAGGAGACCCGCAAGAAGGAGGATAAGGTGCGCCGCCGTTCTCAGGATTCCCTTGGTGAAAAGGATTCTTTCGGGCGCCGTTGGTATCAGTGGTATCAATGGCGGGGTCTGCGATCGCGTTAGTGATGACATTTATATTTGACGTCTTTTTCTCTCTCTTCTCTGTCTATCTTTTCACAGCTTTGGTGTTGGGGATTTGCGGTTTCGGTTTTATCTTTGGAAGATAGAATTCTGCGGGTTTACGGTGTTCCATAACGTGGATGCAATGGTCTAGAAGATCTGCATGAGATTCGATTCTTGTCCTTATTGGATTCTTTTCATTTTTTTCTTGTTTTTTCTTATATTGGACCTGAGTTCTAATAGAACATGAAGCATGATTGTGGACTGTTACAAAACCTATCAATAAAGAGAATACAATTTGATTGTGGTTATAGTTAGACAATAAGGATTAAGTCAAAGAAGATCAAAGAAGATCAACAATCAAATCTAGACAAAATATAAAAATGTGCATATGTATGTTGTTGTATGTCGTTATTCTATGGTCTGGTGATCGACCGAACCCCTACCCCATGTGGCTTAACCCAAACATGTGAATCTCCACCCTTCCTTTGTCTCTTTGTTTCTTTTGTTTCCCCTTCCTTATTCATCGAACTTTGACCTATTATCTATCGCCTTTCATTTCGCATTGAATGAGAAGAAACATCGTGTATTGCCCTTTGTAGCAGAGTCGACGTCTGCAAGATGGAATACAAGTTCCCCTCCACTCAGGAGGACCCGCCATTAGGGGACAATGGCATCAAGAACAACAATATTGATGAGGCGCATTGTGAAATGATCGATTCTCTGAATCGCCTGACTCTGGCGACAGCGACTCCATTGCCTTCATCACCTCCTCTTTCTCCTGTTCCATCCCATCTTCCCCCTTCTAGATCTGTTCAAGCCACTCGACCTGTACCTGCTATTCCTCTGCAGCCCAACCAACCCGTTCAAGCTGTCTCTTTACAATCAAATCAGCCTGTGCAATCTGTCTCACCAAAGGCCGGTTATGTTTCTGTCCGAGACGAACGACGCAAGTCAATTACACCACTACAAAAGCGCAAGTCCGCTGCATCTCTTCGTTCTGTCTCACAACCACTCAAATCTTCATCTCCAACTCCTGATCCTTCACGTCGCATATCATTCACCTCTGTGGGGTCGCCAACCACCGCAACGTCACCCACGATGCACCCCGCACGCCTTGTCTTCAGCCCAGCTCCAGAAGCTCCAATCCCAACTGCTTCGTCTGTCGCTGCTGACCACTTCTCGAAGGAGCTTGAATTACACCGATCTGGTGGTGTCAACACTAAAACTGCAGTTGTTGTTCATGACGACTGCTACGGCCATCGTTACTCCCAGCTTGAAGCACCAAAACGAACTATCGACAGTATTGTCGAAAGACCAGAGCGCATCCGCGCCTGCGCGGTAGGCATTTCTGCAGCTTATGTCCGTCTCGGCTCTCGGTATGCGGAAGATCTCGCGCCAAACCCAAGTTTGAGCTTGAACGAGATTGACGTTCCCTTTCAAATTATCAAGACTGATCGCAAGGTGCATTTGTCTGATACTGCTGTTACGGATGTTCATGGAACCCAATGGATGTCAGAATTGAAATGGATGGGGGACCTTGCAGAGTCACGCCTCCTCGTAGATGGAAATGAACTTGCAAGACAACGGACAAAAGAAGATGACGGGCTTGGGACAACTGGTCCCGCCCTAAATACCAACGATCTCTACTTATGCTCAGAGTCGGTGAACGCCTTCCAAGGAGCCCTGGGGGGCGTTTGCGAAGGGGTGGATCTTGTTTTCAAGTCTGGTCCAATCCAGCGAGCGTTCGTCTGCATTCGACCCCCCGGTCACCATTGTTCAGCTAACTTCCCTTCCGGCTTTTGCTGGATCAATAACGTTCATGTCGGAATTTCCCACGCGGCAACAACCTACGGTCTGACTCATGCCGCGATCCTTGACTTCGATCTTCACCATGGTGATGGGTCTCAAGACATCACATACGATCACAACTCCAAATTACTCAACAGAGCACAAAAGGCCGACTTGGCCAAAACTGATACCATGAAATTTAAGGAATATGAAGACGCTCCTCCATACACCAAAGCAGCAATTGGCTACTACAGCTTGCATGACGTGAACTCTTTCCCTTGCGAGAATGGTGAGCGGGAGAAAGTCATGGGTGCCAGCCTCTGTGTCGAAGCACACAATCAGTCCATCTGGAACGTCCATCTCGAGAAGTGGGACGATCTCGATGGGTTCTGGAAGTTGTATCAGACGAAGTACAACGCATTGCTCACCAAAGCCCGCTCATTTCTACGCGAACGTACAAGCGAACTCAATCAAGAACGACAAGAGAATCCTAGCTCTCCACTGCCCAAAGCGGCAATCTTTATCTCCGCCGGGTTCGATGCCAGCGAGTGGGAAGGCAGCGGCATGCAACGCCACAGCGTGAAGGTACCGACTGAATTCTACGCCAAGTTCACCGCGGATGTCATCCGCATGTCGCAGGAGGAAGGCCTCGGTGTAGAGGGGCGCGTCATCAGCGTCCTCGAGGGCGGCTACAGTGACCGCGCGTTGTCCTCCGGTGTGCTCAGTCATCTCTCAGGTCTGAGTGAAGACTCATTCAAAAGTGAGTGGTGGTCTCAGAATAATCTGAGAGAATTGGATGCCATCATGGCTCCAACGCCCAGCAAAGGGCGCAAGAAGAGTGCTGCCACCTACCTGACAGCCACAAAGTCCTTTGCGGCAAAGGCCGTCACCCCCGGCAGAGACCGGAGGTCCACCGGGGACCCGCAAGCCAACATCGCCGCCGCCCCTTTGCCGGAAGTGAGCTGGGCGGTGGCCACGGGGGAGCTCTCAAAGCTCATCATCCCCGATGGCCGCCAGACACTAAGCTGCCGCCCGGCAGAGCTGAACCGCCAGCGGCGAGAGCAGAGCGCCCAGGACGGGGGTCTTGACCTCAATATCCCCGTCGAGAAGGGGCGCCAGCTGCGCTCGCGGAAGCCCAAGGAGTCGACCCCCGTGCCCATCACCCCCCGCCCAGCCACCCCACGACGTCAGGCCCGAAAGGGCCCGAAGACCCCAAAGACTACCACTGCCGCCACGACCCTCCCTGCTGCCTCCCGCGAGGCCTCCCCGTCTGTGGGTGCCTCCCGTAGGAAGAGCACCAGTCTGACGCGCGCGGGAACTCCGCACCTGGGTGTCAGCCCCTTGAACCTCCCCCCAGTTCCACAGATTCCAACTTCCGTGGGGGGAGTCGGGGGTGGCCCCCGGATAATTCTCAACATGCCGGCGCGGGAGCCCGGTCGTGGCCGCAGGCTGTCCGGCGGTGCGGTTGACCACCACCGCCGCGGTCGAAGCTCAAAGTCACCTATGAAGGTGAAGAAAAATCGTGGGAGCGACTCCGGCGGAAGCTCGGCTGCTTCCACCGGCAGTTCTCCCCTGATCGCAGCCAAGGATGCCGCGATGGAGGACGCTTAGGGTGGCAGGCATGATCTTTGTTTTCTTTCTTTTTATATATACCCCGATACCCTAACTAGCTCTTGCATAATTCGTTGTTCGATTTCTCTAACCCTTTGTTGTCATTGGTGTAGACATTGTAGACCGTAACAGTAGATGGCGGTTTAATATACCCAACTCTCCGTTCTTTCTCCTTTCTAAGGTCGTGGTCTAAAAGAATACTACGTTGAATTGACAGGATTATGGTGCCTGAAGCCAACATCACCTCTACCTCCAAGGCTAACTTCGACCTAGAGACTAGTAAGGTTAAGCTCGATAAAGTGACCCTACTGTACGCGAAGTACGGAATTCCATCGAAAAGATCAACATATCTGCAGACTCCATCACCATATACATTCCCCATACCATGTCGGTCTATGTGATCATCGCGTGGGAAACAGACCACATCAGATTCGTTCGTTCCGCTTGCTCCATGAGTAGGAGTGGGTGCGGATCAAATTGGAATATGAGTAATCGGCCGTGTCGATGACTTTGAGGGGGACCTGAGGGATGGGCGTAGCTTTGAAATCTTGCATCGTACCTCCAATGCCGTGAAGTAAGCCATTGCCATGAACACGTTCCCACTGATTGTTTCGGATGGCCAGTGTTGCGGTAGCATGTGGCCTCGGCATATGATCTCAGTTTATATCTCAGTTTATATGAATTCCAATGCGTACGATGATCTGGACTGGCCCAATATTAACGGAAGCGGCTATTTCGATGCCATATCATTAACCATGCTCCGTGGAGGTCATATGTGCCCGGCTTCAGCCGCTCAAATACAATCGCTTTTTCTATCGCGGTTTGCGCGGGCAGTCTAAAGTTCAATAGCAGCTGGTGATGGATGCATAAATGGCTGCAGTCTAGGGATTTGGGGAGAAACATCACACAAGAAGTTCGATTTTCTCGCTAAGTTAGAGGGTCGTCTCGAGCCATGAAACTATAGCCCTGGCCTGCTTTAGCTCGACCTGGATGTGCTGGACTAATCTTACGATGACTGGCCATCGCCCGGTGGAATGTTTGAGTCGGATCTATTCGTTTGCATGGATCTCGTCCTAAAAGAGATTACGATACAATTCGGGGACGATGGGACCGGGGGGGTTATACTCACTGGTGGGGCGATGTCCTTCCAATATAGGGATTTCTACTACCTCATTAGGGTCCCGTTCCAAGGTTTCGAGGTTGTATACAGGGACACCTGATGGGAAAGGAACAACAACCGAAGGGTCTGGATACCAACCTTGCAAGGTGGTTGCGATATATATATATGTATAGGGCTTGGTAAGATGGACGTTGCATTGAGATTTGAAGCGAATTTCCAGTTGCTCCTAAATATATGAAGACCTTTCCAGACTTTGTATGGATTATAATAAATCACAGTAGTAAGGTATATCGTCTCAAGGATATTTCTGGTCTCACTTTTGATATCTCCTTCACGCGCAATGGTGTATAAAGCTTAAAGTTCGCCGTCGAATAACAAAGAAATGGCCAATCTGTCATCAAATGGGCCTGTGGTTTAGGGGTATAATACCCGCTTCGCACTACAACAGTGACTTGCGGGGGGTCCCGGGTTCAATTCCCGGCGGGTCCATTCTTTTTTTCCGTCCAAAAGTTTTTCTTCTTAACTTCGTGAATCTCTTCTTGCCAGGCTTTTCCTTCCTGGTTAACTATTTTCTTTTACGGTGCACATGATGAACTCATCCTATTAGAAAATTATAACACTTTCTTTTCCTTGTTGGTGCGGTTTCCTACTCTTATGCAAAACATATCAATATACATGTATATTGCGCACCTATGTATCCTCTAAAACTCCTGTCGCGGCCACTGGTTTAACTCGAAGAATCTCGAATCCACCCTCATCTCTATCCTCGCCTTTCTGGGGCCACAGGATCTGTCCCGTCAAAATGGCCCGAACCATCATATAGCATACGAAAAAGTACATCAACAACAATGGTAGTATCGCTGCACACGCAACAATTTCAATAGGCTTGCAGGAGAATGCCTTGCCAATAGCAAAAGTAGCAGTGATCAAGGCAGTATTAGGGAAGACGAATGAGAACCAGGTCATTGAGAAGACCATGCGTCCATGTCCAATCGCCGACCAATGGGCTGCGCTTGCAATAATGAAGAAAAATAAGGCTAACCTATAGGAAAGTTAGCCGAGTAATAGAAATAATCATGGAACCGAACATACCCCCAGAGCCAAAGACACGCAAAATTAACAACAATCCTCAATACATCGGCAGCCAGCGCCCCATTACCCATAAAATCGGCTGGAAACGACCTCTTCGCCCCAGCCGCCATAGTCACAAGCCCGGCAACTGTAAACCCGCTCGGTCCAACAGAAACAAACATACCAGGACGGAGATTTTCCCTCGGCAGCTTCTGTGTCATCAGCCGGTAGATGAAGGCCGAGTACACCATCAACGAAACCAAAAAGCCGACTCCCTGGATAGTCGTGCCGCCAATAATTACTGGCAGAGACTGCGACGGTTCCAGCTTTTCACCCAGGATTCCAGCGTGCGGGCCAATGATGAGCATCGGGTAAGCAGGGAAAATCCAGATAGGAGTCATCTGCGCGATGGTGAATGTCTGCGTCGACCAGAGAAGGAGGTAGATGCCCGCTGTGAACAATACGGCGAGAGTGGCATCGATCCAGAATAGAATACGGACTGCATGCATCAACCACGGACCCGTGTTTTCGGGCCCGTACTGGGATACGTTGATTAGGATCGTGCCGAAGGATACTATCGATGCGGGCACGAAGAGTGACTCCGTTGGGTGCAGGAAGGACGCCTTGAACGTATACGGATAATGATAGAACCGAACAAGCAGAAGAGCCCATATGATGAGATACAAAGCAATATTGAGCAGGAAGACAACGACGCCAATCGTATCCAATCCATTAAACCGAAATGGAACTGGTCCTTGTTAGCCATGTTCAACCGAACAGAATGAAATCGACCATGCACACCTTGATACAAGACGTTAGCCAACCCGCCAGTAGCCATAGTCAACGTAAAATAAGCCCATGTAACATGGCGAATGCGCTTCTTCCAGCTCAGCTCACCAGAAACCGTGCGTTTGAGCCCAAACAGTCCCAGCCCGTTATACTCCCGGGACGGACCGGCTTCCTTATCCGGCTTTGTCTTCACAGTAACCTGCGACGAGGCTCGCTGCAGTGCAGCCTCTAAAGCAGACGAATGAGCCTCGCGAACTCCACCACCGGCGCTTTCTTCAATGGTTCCCAGAATTGAAAGCGCCCGCTCGGCATCTTCTATCGTTGGCGTTCGGTACCCATCCTCGCCAGGAATTCGCATGTGCCGAGGCAGATCGGATTCGGTGGCCATCACTGTTTACTGCGATTTGACTCAACGAGTGTACACAACGTTGAACGCAAGCGTGGATAGTTTCAACTTCTCCCCTCCCGTTCGGGGTTTTCTATTCTGCCGCTTGCTTGGGGAAGATGGCATGGGCGGTAGTAGACTTGGTACCACAGAAAAGCTAGGACGCTAGCCTGGGAAAAATTATGTACGATTCTGGGTTTCTGTTGAAGCCCTTTTAATTAATAGCGATCGAAGAGCTCTGTAGAACAGAATAAACGGGTCGTTCGGGTCGACGTGGATTAATGTGGGGACCAATGGCAAGAATCTACTAGTGGCAATGGCGAACAGACGATTGATATTCCATTACATACAACGTTGTAAATAGATGAGGGTGTTGGTGCATCTATGGCATCAGTGTCCATTAAATTCTATCTTCTACCCCGAATCTCACATACTGGTTCTCCGGTATAGCAGGACGGTGTCACTCGTGGAGTTCACCTCGGGAATTGGCACTCATCCGGCGCCACTAGACGGTTTCCAAGGTTACTTTAGACTATCAATCCACAGGAACTAGCCATGTTTGAACAATGTTCTTGTTTTCGATCGAACAGTGTTGACGTACGTGGATGCTCGGGACCTCGGGAATATGTTCGAAATAGTGTAAAGTGATAAGCTTTATTGCAGGTGGAGTAGTCTACTCCGACTTATTTTCCGATCTGTTAACATACAGTCCAGCCCTGGAGATCATTTAGGTCTTTCATATATCCAAGCCACTATTTATACGATAAAGACAAAACAGGCAATAGGGCTTAGGGCTGAGTGCTATACTCTTGAAACACGGAGAGCCGAGGCATCTGCTGGATCTCCACTCGCCTACCAGATGTCCATGCCGTAGCCAGCTGTTCTACTACATCGTATAACTATCTTTCAGATCTAGAAAGTCGTTTCAGTCTATCATACTCCACCTCAGACATGTCGGGAGCGACAGACACTCGCAGATCGGTGCTCATCACGGGGTAAGTTACATGTGACTCTGGACAGATACCAACAACAGCTTCTGATATATACCGTAGATGTTCCCCAGGCGGAATCGGCAACTCCCTCGCGCGCGAGTTCAACCGAAATGGACTGCGCGTGCTGGCCACCGCTCGCGATGCGGCGACCATCTCTGATCTGGCAGACCTCGGCATTGAGACCCTGAGCCTCACAGTTGATGACCCGGAGAACGTGAAATCATGTTTTGCGGATGTCGAAAAGAGGCTCGGAGACAAGGGTCTTGACTATCTCGTTAATAATGCGTGAGTATCTTTTGTCGCTTCATATATGGACGGTACGGTACATTTGCTAATATCCACCAGTGGTCGGAGTATGTAACTTCACTCTCGCGGCTTCCGGCGTCGATAATTTGAAGCATGTACTGATTGATGCAGATTACACCGTCCCTGCGATGGAAGTAGAACTCGCCGAGGTTCGCCAAACATTCGAGACCAACCTTTTTGCGGTCATTACTATGTGCCAGACATTCCTGCCCTTGCTTATCAAGGCGAAGGGAACTATTGTGCAGATTGGATCCGTCGCCGGGGTAGGTTTGGGATAGATCCCTCTTCCCAGATTTTATCTTACTGACAATAACTAGATAATCCCATATGTATTTGGCTCTGTCTACAACGCCTCTAAAGCCGCACTGCACTCTTTCAGTGACACGCTTCGCGTGGAGCTGGCACCATTCGGGTTCGTTAGATACGGCCCCAAAACCAAATATCTGTTATGTTGTGTTTTCTAATTACGATCAACAGTGTCCATGTCACAACCATCGTTACTGGCGGTGTTCAATCGCGTATTGCGCGTACCGACCGTGCTCTGCAGCCGGGTTCCTTGTATTCCCCCATCGAGACCGAATATCTTACCCGTGTGAAGCATAGCCAGCACAACGCTATGCCGAATGACGCCTATGCTCGCAGTGTCGTTTCTCAGGTGTTGTATGGCTCAGCTCCGTGGCGCTGGTTGTGGCCGTGGGCTCGTGGTCGTAAGGCCTGGATCTGGGAGGGTCGTGCGAGCTGGTTGATCTGGATGTTGTCGGGTGGCTGGGCTTGGTCGGGACTGTTTGGGGGGATCATGACTAAAATGTTTAAACTATGGAGGATCAAAAATGCCTCGGGGAAATAAAGGGGGATCTTTGTGGGTTTGAAGTGTGAGTTTAGTCGATATAATGTTGAGATAGAAGACATGGACAAAGCTGAACATCTAAAGGAAATACATATAAAAAGAAACCGAAAATCTATAATATCCGAAGAGAAATACTTTAATAGCCATCCACGGAGGTTCCGTTATATTCGCGTTGTCCCCGAACCCATGCTGAGTCAGTTCGGGAACGATCGCTGGTTGGCTGCGGCACCCGATTTTACCGCAATGCAAGGTCACCCCGAAGACTTGCTGAAAAAGAAAGCTGTTCTGTCCCTTACCAACTATCTAAACGGGCTTTATACCTCCGCCCTTCCACACAAATTCCCCATCTCCTCTCTCCATCCAATTCATCATGTTCAAGCTTGCTCGCGGTAGACCCGTTGCGGCGGCTTTCAAGGCTGCGACAGTGAGTTATATCTGAATTCGATCGGGCCGTGTTCGGTTTATGTGGTTGAGCTGACTTTGGCTATGAACAATAGCAACCCTCCATCCAGAGCAGAGTCGCTTTGCAGAAGCGAAACCTTTCAATCCACGAGTACCTTTCCGCAAGACTCCTCAAGTCGGTACGTGCACCCGCGTTTCACCCTTCGGTCGCCCGAAAAAAAACGAAGGAACTCGGGATCGCTGATCAACAATCTAGTACGGTGTCGGTGTCCCCAAGGGTGATGTCGCGAAAACCGCTGAAGAGGCCGAGACTATTGCCAAGTCCATCGGTAAGAACAACCTACTGATTTCCCCCCTTTGAACGCGCTCGCTGAACATTACATGCCAGGTGGTGATGATCTTGTTATCAAGGCCCAGGTTCTCGCCGGTGGCCGTGGTAAGGGTCAATTCGACAATGGTCTCAAGGGTGGTGTCCGTGTGATCTACTCGTGAGTTCTACAAATCCGAGAACAGGTCGGGAACAATGAAGCTGATAGATATCTTTGCAGTCCCACTGAGGCCAAGATGTTCGCTGGCCAGATGATCGGTCACAAGCTCGTTACCAAGCAGACTGGCGCTGGCGGCCGTATCTGTAACTCGGTCTACATTTGCGAGCGCAAGTTCGCCCGCCGTGAATTCTACCTCGCTGTCCTCCTTGACCGTACCACCCGTGGCCCCGTCATCGTCTCATCCTCCCAGGGTGGTATGGATATCGAGGCTGTTGCCAAGGAGAGCCCCGACGCCATCATGACCACCCCCATTGACATCCACGTCGGTGTGACTGACGAGATCGCCCGCACCATCGCCACCGATCTTGGTTTCTCCGAGCAGTGCATCGAGGAGGCCAAGTCCACCATCCAGAACCTCTACAAGTGCTTCATGGAGCGCGATGCTACTCAGCTCGAGATCAACCCCCTGTCTGAGACCTCCGACCACCAGGTTTTGGCCATGGATGCCAAGCTTGGATTCGACGACAATGCCGAGTTCCGCCAGAAGGAGGCTTTCTCGTGGCGCGATGTTTCCCAGGAGGATGCCGATGAGGTCAAGGCCGCTGAGTAGGTTGCCTTGCTGAAAAAAAACAAAAAAACAAAGAAGCCCGGACAACATTGACTGACTTCTGTCTTTTTCTAGGCACGGTCTCAACTTCATCAAGCTCGATGGTGACATCGGCTGCCTTGGTAAGGATCCTGTTGATATACTTCAAAAGATCACAATGCTAATTCTCGCTTTTAGTGAACGGTGCTGGTCTCGCCATGGCCACCATGGATATCATCAAGCTTAACGGCGGCAGCCCCGCTAACTTCCTCGATGTCGGCGGTGGTGCCACCCCCGCTGCTATCAAGAGTGCCTTCGAGCTGATCACCAGCGACCCCAAGGTGTCCGCCGTCTTCGTTAACATCTTCGGTGGTATCGTCCGCTGTGACGCCATTGCCCAGGGTTTGATCAACGTTGTGCAGGAGATGAACTTGCGCACCCCCATCATCGCCCGTCTGCAGGGTACCAACATGGAGCAGGCCCACAAGCTGGTATGATTACAGTCCTCGTTTTCCCGTTCCTAGCTACGGTGCAAACTAACCAAATCTGTTACCTTCTAGATCAACGAGTCCGGCCTTAAGATCTTCTCCATCGAGGACCTCCAGAACGCCGCTGAGAAGTCCGTCCAGTTCTCCAAGGTCATCAAGATGGCCCGCGACATCGACGTCGGTGTTGAGTTCACCCTCGGCATCTAAAGGGTTTTTAGCTCTTTGGTTATAATGATAGAGAGGGTAAGGAGCATTTTCATTTGCCTTTTTCCTGGGGCTAGCGAACCGAACCGAACCGCCGCAGTGACATCTTAGAGAGATCTCTGTAATGCTTTTGCGCCTGTTCCTGTGTCATTTATTTTCTTTTTGTCACTGTATTCTTGAGTGTTTCTATGACCTAGATCAGTTCCTAATCGGGATGTGTGAGAGACGATATATTGATCTCTCATTGTTTAGTATGAAGTGTTCAAATAAATTTGCAGATATGTATGTAGGGTAGATGGCTGCTTGCACCGAGTAGGAATGGCTTGGATTCGGGTCTCGTATTTCCATGAATGTCTACTACATATGTAGGTATTAAGCGACTTGCACTGAGGTCCATGGGTCACCTGCAGGCTCCAGGGCACCTTCGAAGGTTACCTAAGGAACCCCCTCAAAATTCCACCCATCCTTTAACAACCTTGGAATGTTTCTATGAAAGTTTCTTCATTTATCTCAGTCTTCCATTCGACTCGAACCAAATATGGACCCCCCCACACAACCCATCATCGCCGGCTTTATGGCTCTCCGTGACAGCTCAAGCCGGCGAGCAGTGTATGTCCCACGTCCAAAATTCAGAGTCGGACCTGACAGCTAATACAAATAGGATCAACGGGATCCTTGATAACCTAAGTCCACATGAGATACGAGAAGTGAAGAGCCGATTTGAAACGATCACATTCCATTATGATTTGCTAGACAAACTGCCTATTGAACTGGTGGCTATGTTAGCAAAGTACTTGGATCTAGTTGATCTTGTTCTCCTTCGAAAAGTATGTCAGCGTCTATTTGGTTGATTGTGACGTCTATTGACATGACTATATTACAAAGGTCTCCAAACGATGGTGTGAAGTGCTCTCTTCAACCACCGTCCTCACCACTGCAATCAGATACTACATTGGGAAAAGCGTCATTAAGCCCGATTGTACCCTTGCTGACTTTGATACGCTTATTAAGAAACGAATTCAAGTGGAAAGAGGAATCCCTGCTGTTGTGGCTACAATCCCTAACGACTTGCCTCCCGATTTTGAGGGCGAGCTGAACCGAGACAATATAAGCTGTTTCAATGGAGTATGCGCGTGGATTGAAGAATCCAGAGACCGAACTACTATATTCATGGTGCACCTACCAACCGGCCAAAACAGAACCCTCACAACAGCGAATCGAGAGGAATTTACTCATGTCCAGGTCTCGGACAGCTTGGTATCAGCAATTTCTATTCGGGGGTATGTAGCCAGGAAAGGAATCTCACTTTTTTGAACGCACCTCTGACTAGACAGGATAGGTACTGTCATGTCTGGAACATCTCCAAAGAACAGTACAAGTCCTTTCGCATTCCTTCGTTGCAATTTGTTCATTACATATCCATCGGATCCAAGATCGCGCTGAGCTACGCGGATTCCGTAGTCCATTTCTGCTTTGACTCTGGAGTCGCCCGTTCCGTCAAAATCGGGCCGTTCATTCTTTTCTTGTCAGTACATGCAAAGGAAGATGGATTCTCTGTCGTTTGTGCCCGCAGAAAAAATGGCGACGACGTCCAACCATGGGAAGATGGTTACTTGTATTGGGACAAGCATCATTTGCAGACCCAGAGATTCTCTGTCCATGATAATAGGTTTATCTGCATCGGGGAGCAATATCGAGAGCTTCCTTTCAGACATGACGAATCATGGAGGTTTCAGTGCAAACCAGAAAACGCCACACCCCCATACAGAGGGTGCCCCAGTCAAAGCTCTACTTTGCTGAAACTGCGTATGGATAGAGTTTGTGCGTTTCGTTATCGTGCGGATGATCCTCATCCGCAACATCTTTCACTCGAGGCAGATGATCTGATTACTGTGTATTTCCACTCCACAGAGCTGGACTTCAGGTATCCTCACGCCAACCTAGACTATTCAGCCCGGGGGCCCGGGTTGATTTTTAGTTATTATGAGGACTACTCATTCTCAACAAAAATGAAATTGCGCATTAGCCGTGTCTCGCACGTCCCCGACACTAAAGTGTGTCGATTGGAATCCTTACGCACAGTAACTTTTCCAGGTGACCGGTCATGCAGATCGGTTTGGGGGGATGGAGACTTCGTTCTATCCCCTTCGGAAGACAAAATCTGGATCGGGTGTTTTGATGAGGCATGGCTCCCCTCTGGTGTCCCTAATATGAGGATTTCAACTTGGCGATTTGACGGGTAAAAAGTGGGAATCCGTTGAAGAAATGGCTATACTAATTAGCCAGCTATGTAACCCCTGCGAAACCTACCTTGACACTAGCGGATGATTGCAGTCAATACAAGCTCTTTGTCAAGCAATACTGTATGGATATGTAGATACCCCGATAAGGATCGGACCAAGGCCATATACATAGGTGAAGTAAAAAAACAGCAACATGTATCAAAGAGAAGAGTATCTAGACCATACAAATTTCAGACTGTCTTTCTCACTCAGAGCTAGTTTTTAGGTTAACATGTTATTGTTATTATCAGGGGGTAGTCTAAGATATAGTGTACGGAGTACTATTTAGTATGGAGAGCTATGCCTCGCAGTTTAGCCAGTCTAGCCACAGTCATGGATTATAATTACCGAACCTAAGAGTTAATGGCTTTTTATATTTAATATATAGTGCTATGTTATTATTATTGTCTTGATGATTGGCAGAATAAGCCAGCAGGGCTATAAAGAGATATATGGAGTACAGAGTAGAGGTTAGACAATTAAAGTAATAGCCCCTTTTTTCCAGATCTCCAAAATAATATATCCCAATTGGTCTCTTCTTTTCTTTCCTGTATATGTAACTCCGTATAACTTCATATTTCTGCAGATCTGACTGGCAACACATTTCCCCCTTCCCCGCAGAGCCCTTTTCTCTCAACCTTCCAGACACTTCGAGACTTTCTTAGTTTCCCTTGTCTCTATTTTTACCTATCACTTTTCCCCCCTTGAAGATACCCCAATTTCTGCGCGATGACAGAAGTGTTGATTATTGGTTGATCTCCCACGTTCTTTCGGCACGAGCACAAACGGTCCATCGCGTCCGAATTCCACCCCTCACGATCCCGTCGCATCCACCACCGATTTTGTGCTATATATACCTACACCCCTCCGACATGAGTCGTCTCGCCGACTCTCCTTCTACCAGGATTTCATTTGCCGGGGTACCAGACGCCCCGGGCAGGACACGAAACATTCCTGTACTTTCGTCGTCTGGTCAGCACTCGATGGATATCACCCCTCCGCCCACGGGCGCGCATGGCACTGACGACCGAATGGCCGGAATCACCAATGGCGCTGAAGCTGGGAACAATCCGTTGAATGCTCCGAATCCGGCTGTCGGTGCTGCGGCCGCAGCTCAGCAGCCAAAAGTCGTCCAGACTGCTTTCATTCACAAGCTCTACAAGTACGTTCTTTTTTGGTCCTCGTCCTTTGTCTCCATCCGCTTACTTTTTTTTTTTTGGAAAACAGTATGCTAGAAGATCCCAGTATCCAGCATCTCATCTCTTGGTCCGG